TAACGATTCCAGTGAGGGTCCATGCGATACCAAAAATACGGGCAGGAACAGAACAGGGGAAACGGTCTCCATAGCTGAAAACAAAAACAGACAGACAGTCAAGTGAACATACAGAGAGGAGAGGAGGGGCTTGGGTTCACGATAACGAAAAAGGGCTGCTAAGAAGTAAACACCGATAAGAGATTCGGCACAAATAACAAATGTTAAGGGTTTGCTTACCCAACGGTAGTCATGGAGACGAACGACCACCAGAGTCCTTCGCCGATACCTTTGCTAAAACAGGCTGGAAACTGATCTGAGTTGTTCTTCATATCCTGAATAATGAGATAGGGAACGATGACGAGAGAAACATTCCCAATGTTTTAACTTCAATTAAGAATACAAAACAAAACAAACAAAAGTTTGAAGTCTACTTAGGTTATAAGGTACACAGCACTGTTGAGGTGCAATCCACGAAAGCGATATATTTCCTTGTGGGCGGTTCATAGACTCAGTTAACCCTTGAACTCCTAAAGGTGATTGACATGCAATTTCTGCCTGTAATATCCATACTTTTTCCAGAAAAGGTCATGAGAATATTTACATCATTATTACCATTATTGCATTATTTTTTGAAGTGTGTGAAGTTGAGTCCAAAACTCTACTCCTATAAAGCTTTCGTTTTTTAAATGAATAACAGCGAAATACTATATACTCACCAAAAGCCATATAATGAACCCGGAAAGAAAGGCCATACATGCAGACAGTAGTACCAGTGGAAAGCACGAAAGCACAGCGCTTACAATGTTTCTTGCAGCTGCTCCTGGAGTCCTCTTGGCGGCGACAAAAGCCAACCCAGGGGACTCCACAAGGTTGACATAAGGGTGAACGCCCCCAAATCTTGTTACGTATCTGTTGCCGTAGATTGGAAAACTTATTTGTGGAACTTCATCGATGTCACCAAGAACGTCTACAAGGCTTTCCTTGCCCGATCGCTGTCCATTTCCGTTTGAAGCCAAGTTGATTTCGGTGAAACCGTGTGCAGGACACTCTCCACAAGCTGTATAAATCATATCTGTGACAATGTGACTAAAAATGCCATCCAGAGTGTTTCCTTTTAGATTCACTTTTAGATACGGCGGAGTTGACCAATAGTTCG